ACGGGCCCCCGTTAATTCTGCTTGAAGACTCAGTTAAACAAGCAAACAAAGAAAGAAACAAGAAATAACAGTTCTTTGTATATATGGATCCTACCCCCTGGACCCGGCGTGCTAAGGCTGGCGCCAGCTCCACGCCCTGCTGCTGCCGCACGAACTGACGGACCCGGGCCTCGGTTGGTCGGGTCGGCTTCCTCTCGTCTGGACGACACCGAGATACAAAAAACGGCCACCAGAAGGTGACGCATTCACCTAAAGAAAAGCAAGCCCCAAGAGGCAATCTGCCATTCCTTGTAGAACACAACTGTGAGCTTCTCAGGGCGCATCGCTCAAAGGGGCTACGATTCATGGCTACATCCCTCAGTTTAAGTCGGGGCCCTTTTTGCGCATCGCAGGCGCTGACAGCCTGATATAATTGAGCCGTTTGAGGAATGATTGCTCAGATGCAACGGCAACATCAGCGGATCATATGCCTGAGGATAAGCAGGAATCATGGAATCCCTACCCCTGAGGGAGAAGAAACAGAAAGAGACAATTACGCCAATGGCCGCCCGGGCTGCCATCATCTCTTCTGCCGCCTCCGGGTCCTGCTGCTTTGAGCCCTCGCTGCCCATGGACTGGCCTCCTTCGCGTGCTTTGCCGTTTCGGCGAAACAAGGAGCACGTGGTGAGCAACAAGCAGGGGTTCCGTCCGGGTTTCATGGCATGAACCCCAGCTTTCTACAAGCTTGCTACGCAGCCTGCGTCCTGAAAGCCGATCTCCCTCAATGAGATACGGGTAGGTACCGTTGTTTTGGTCTAGGGTTGCTTTAGCGTGGTTCCAAGTGGCTTTAGTCTTGGCCTAGGGTTGGTTTAGTCTTGGTTTAAAGTTGGTTTAAGGTAGGTTTAGGGTTGGTTTAAAAGTACTTTTTCGGATTGGTCTACGGTTGGTTTAGGTTTTGTTTAGGGTTGGTTTTGGTTTGGCTTAGGGTTGGTTCAGGGTTGGATTAGGGTGGTTTATGGTTGGTTTAGAATTGGTTTAGGGTTGTTCTACGGCTGGTTTAGGGTTGGTTTCAGGTGGGTTTAGGATTGGTTTTTGGGTCGGTTTAAGGTTGGTTTCGGCGGGTGGCTTGCTTGTTCCCCTGCTTGCTTGGGTTTAGGCTTGGTTTCTTGGCGATGTAGGGTTGCTCCTGCTTGTTTGGGTTTAGGGTTGGTTTAGGGCGGGGATCGGGTTGATTTAGGGTTGATTTAAAGGGTAGGTTGCATACTTGCTTGCTTGTTCAATCGCTCGCTCGCTTGTTTGTTTGTCGCAACGCAGTGGAACAAAATCCCCCGTGTGGACAGAAATTCCCCGTAAAACCGACTCACCCTCAGATCGTTCCTGATCCTCATGTGTCAATGCTTGGTCACCAAATCATTGTTGGTGCGCTCGTAGCCCGTGCCCCAAAGACTAACGCATTGCATTCCCACCTAGAAGTGCACGTGACGGGATGTGATGAAACACTGGGAAGCCATTGTCAAAAGAAGGGCGATGGACAGTTGTTTGCTATGAATTGCCCCTGCAAACGCACTGAGCTCCAAGCACGTCGGATGCAGTTCGAAGCGTGCGCAGTCCTTCCCCTCCGAAGAGTTGCGCAAGCGTGCACTCCTTGGCAAGGAATCTCTGCTGCCTTAGCTCCGCAGATCACGCAGCCGCCATGGAGGTGAGAAGGGGCCTTTTGACATCCCACATCCCGGAATGGCCCTCTGAATTGCATCCAAGCCGGCCCTTTGGAGAAGACCGAAATTCGGGATATCAGGAACTTGTACATGCTGCGCCCAGTTTTGTCCTTCAAGTCCTGCGCGAAGTCTGGCACCTGGCACTGCCCGGGGCTACAGTACGTGTAGCATGAGAGCAAGCCCACCCGCCCGGCCCGATGGAAGCCTTCAGAATGTTGTACACCTCTGAGGCTGGCAACTCACCATCCTGCACTTGCTGCAGCGCCTTCTTCAGCCACCTCGACCCAACTAGCCCATGCGGAGACGGAAAGGGGGCCTTTTTGGATTCGTGGCATGCGGGTGACGGCTCCGAGGCAGCCCTAGCTTGCGGGCCGAAGCGCTTTTCGCGTGTTCCCGAGCCTTTGGCCAAGACCAATTGGATATCAGTTTCGGCCAAAGCTTTGGCACTGGGCCCGGTCTTCTGCGTCTTCTCCTTAGGGCTTGAGTTCAACCGTCTGCCGCGGAGCGGAGCGCTTGTGGCGAGCTGCATTTCTTCGCACGACCTCTCCCGGGATGGCATCGTTCATAGGGTTCCTTAGAAGCAGCATTGTCCAGGAAGCCAAAGCCACGAGCAAGACTCCTCAAGGCTGTTACAAAGGCCCCTGAAGGCCCCAACCGAATAAAGTTGAGACTAACCCTGCACACAGCCAGCGCCCTGCCTCGCCATACATTTCTTTGGCCAGGCGGCGCATCCCGGTCCTCGTTCCGACTATCCTTCTTCCCCGATGCTCGCAGAACAGCTCCAGTGACGGGGTCGCGTATCCTGCATAAGTGTTTCTGAAAAGGGAGCCCTAAAACTGGCGAGTTCTTTTTGACTTTTTGTTTCTCAAAATGACATCCGAAACAGGGTCCCCCTTATAGTGGAAAACGTAATAAGCTTTCATGCGGGCCTGCCCACCATGGCAGCCAACGGGGGCCACGCCCAAGCGTTCGCTACCAAGACATTCCAGCCTTGAGCCCCTTTGTCTTCGGCACTGGCGCTAGCCCCCGGCTTCTCAAACTGGCCATGCCCCCAGCTGGCACCCCAACTCAAAACTGACTTGTCAAGGCTCCCTCGAACAGGGTCCGTTTATGTCCTTTCCCCACTCACAGCCCGCAGGTCTCACTGGCACGCACAGGTATCACAAGACTGGTGTTTTGTTCTTCATGTCCCTTTTGTGAAACCGTCAGGGTTGCATTTGTTGACTACCCCGAGGCCAGACTAAAACCCAGGAGTGGCTGGCGTCCCAAGAAAACACGCTGTTTAAGCCCTTGCGGTGATCAACTTAAATGGAACCCTCATTGGATGCCCCCCCCCAACCCCTTGGGCTGGCACAAGGTGTTGCAGCAACGCGTTGAGCGCGCAATACGCCTGTGGCTCTAAGGACTCCTTGATCACCTCCGCATCCACTCGGATCGACGGGATTGAGAGCTGTGCTCTGGTGGCAAGGTGTCCGTGCGGGGCTAAAATGGCAAAGGTTTCCCTTTAGAACAGGCTCCCTCAAAAAGAAGTACACCCAAATGGAGGTGCCAAATTTGGAGTTTCAGGCTTTTTGTCTTCTTGCGCGTGCTGACTCCGACCGGCCCATGCATAGCCCCCAAACTGATCAGCTGGCCAATTGTTTTAGGTGGCAAGCTCGCAAAAGGCGGATGCCGCAACCAACGGTGGCCATCCGCTGGCAACCGCTTCTGAACAGGACAACCAGTTGCCTCTCTCTTTCTGGCACCCGCTCGGGCCTCCTACCAGCCCCCCCAAGCCATGAGACCCGCTTTGCGAGCCTCAGGCGGCAGCTGCCGAAAGAGCAGGTGCAGCACTTCCAGGATCTCCGCGGGCATGGAAATGGGCGACTGCAAAGTGAGCAAGGCCCCGACCTCAGCTTTGCAGTCCTCAGCCCTGCTCGGTGCGTCTGCTCCATAGTCAAAGATCCCCTTTTCTGTGATGCCGATAAGTGGGCTTGCCATCCCCATGACTTGTCAGCTGAAAGGGGATGATTACAATCACAGAAATCCCCCAGTTTTGCACAACCTGCTCTGGCATAGTCCGGAGCAGTTGTAAGCTATCCAAGCGCCACGCCATCTTCACCCCGAAGGTCTTGCGCCTTTGAGAATATCGGCCAAAACGAATTGCTGAGGGAAACGGGTGGTGTTCGCCATCGGCTGCCTTGCACATCTGCCCCTCCATCGGAGTCATGCTTGTGTAAATAAACCCGAAAATGTCTCTGGGCCTTTGCCATCTAGCGGCATCGCACCCCTGCGCCCAAGCCCCGGGCAGCTCGATGATGCGAGCCTCGTGCTCTTCCTGGCCGAATTGCCTCCCTCTCAACCCCCCCACCCCCCCCCCTCCCCCACAAGATACACCAACAAAAGTAACCTCCTGTCCTGGGTGGCCTGCAAGGTCGCGCGGTGTTTCCGCAGCACCTCCCCGCACTGCCTGCGCCGTGAGCAAGAAAAATAAGCATCCCCGAACTTTGCTTTGCACATTCCCCGGGAAGAGGGGAGCTACTCTTTCTGCAACTCTCAAAGCTGGGGCTGTGGGGTCTCTGCCCAGCGGTGTTCCACAGGGATAATGCGTGAATGTGCCCTCGAGACAAGTGACCTGCCCAGGCGACTGGGTTCAAAGTGGACATTTTGGGACGCCAAAGTTATGGGGACCGGGGGGATGTGGGTGCTTCTTTTTTGGGTGCCTTTGCTGTGGTTTTGGAAGGGAAGCCAAAAAAGGAAACCGGAGCCCACTTTGGGGATTCCGCGATATGGAGACCTGTTGGCGCTGGCCTCAGCCACTCGTCCGGCGCGCTCTCTTCTCGCTCTTTCCGCAGGAGCAACTCCAAACAGGTCACCTCAGAAGGAAAACAAACTGAGAAAAGGGGCCCCTCGGTAGACTTTGGTGGTTTGGGTGGCTTTGCATGTTGTGGTTTTGATCAAGCTACCTGCCGTGGGTTCCGTTTGGTTTCACCAATCCGGGATGCAAACATCAAATGCCGGTGATGAGCTTGACCTTTCAGGTCGTCATGGCCGAACACATAGTTCGCTACTCGAAAGGCAACCGCTCGGAAAGCTTTGGACAGTTTGGCTCTTTCTCAGCATTCGGGGCGGAAGTTCAGTCGCCGACCCGGAGTCAGGGTTCGGCTACTCCCCACGCAGTGATCGGAAATCATTTCTCCTGAAGCCTGCCCTTCCACCGCCGTTCCGTGAACCTTGCGCGCTCTTCCACACCCCTTGGATATTTAAACCAAGTGTTGCTGGCTTTCGCTCAATCATTTATGACGCCTGGGGTGAGGAGCTTTCCCGGCAGTGGCACGGCGCGCGCACACGCACGCACGCACGCACGCGCACACATAGAGACACACAGATACACACAGACACACACAGACACACACAGACACACACACACACACACACAGACACACACAGACACACACACACACACACACACACACACACAGACACACAGACAGACACACACAGACACACACAGACACACACAGACACACACAGACACACACAGACACACACAGACACACACAGACACACACAGACACACAGACACACACAGACACACACAGACACACAGACACACAGACAGAGAGACACAGAGAGACACAGAGAGACACAGAGAGACACAGAGAGACACAGAGAGACACAGAGAGACACAGAGAGACACAGAGAGACACAGAGAGACACAGAGAGACACAGAGAGACACAGAGAGACACAGAGAGACACAGAGAGACACAGAGAGACACAGAGAGACACAGAGAGACACAGAGAGACACAGAGAGACACAGAGAGACACAGAGAGACACAGAGAGACACAGAGAGACACAGAGAGACACAGAGAGACACAGAGAGACACAGACACACAGACACAGACCCAGACCAAGACCCAGACCCCCAGACCCAGACCCAGACCCAGACCCAGACGCAGACGCAGACGCAGACGCAGACGCAGACACGCACATGCCGCACGCGCGCACGCACGCACGCGCACGCGCACGCGCACGCGCACGCACACACACACAGACACACACAGAGACACACAGAGACACACAGAGACACACACAGACACACAGAGACACACAGACACACACAGACACACACAGACACACACAGACACACACACACAGACACACACACAGACACACACAGACACACACATTGGAGCGCAAGGCAGTGAAAGGGTTCCGGATGCTACGTACATGGTTTGCAGGTACACGGATTGGCGTCCCAATCACGGAGATTCCACAGCCGTCATCGTTGGCAGTAGAGGAATGCGGCTGCGGTCTTGCAAGGCAGCACTGATGGCTCGGCTCCATTCGTGAAGGTCATGGGTTTGCGCGACGCAGCTTTGGATTGAGTAGACGGATTGCTTGATTTGTGAGGCGCGGTGGTTCGCACCGGTGATCTTCTTCTAGCTGATCAGGAATGATGAGGCAAACGCGGCGGTGGTCCGAACGTTCATCACGAAGCTGTTGCGCGCGATCGCGATCATCTTGACCGCGTCCGTGGCGCCCTGGTCGGAGATGCACATTCTCGTCACGGTCACGCGAATGTGCACGAGGACGCAGCGTGGAGGTGCGTCATCTGCGTGGGCCAGGACGCTTCAAAGGCGGCCTGGTCCATCCCAAGGGCTTCGTGCTGTGGGAGCGGCTGGCTGTTCTGGCTGGACGAAGGACTACGAGTATGCGAGATCGGTTGCGTGTGTTCATGGACCGTCGATGTTCTCTTGGTTGCTGGGATGGTGAGCTCGGTTGGCCCCGGCGGTCGTGCTGATGAATGCGGCGTCGTCGAACACGAGCATGATGTTCGGCAGAGTTGTTCTGCGCTTCATGCGCCGATTGTTGAGAACCGAGAGGCGCTGAAGGTGGAGTAGGCGTCGCCGTGCTGGCGAAAATACCCCGGGCAATTGGTCCACGTCGTCAACGAAGGCGGTGGTTGAAGTGGAGCACTGATCGGTTGACCACCGGGCGCTTGTGCGTGGGCCGCCTGCGCTGCCGGTCCAGTAGAGTGGCGTTGTCAAAAGGGTTGATGGTAAGGATTCAAAGAATTCATGCACATCACTTAGCTGGTTTTAAGTCAGCGTGGGGAAGGCAGCGCGGGACAACCCAAACAGAGGGCGCGGCTTAACCACGACAAGAACTTAAAAATTGAACCTCGCCAAATAACGCGTGCCCTTACCCAAACAAACTTGAACACCTCAAGCAACAGCCTCACGTCACGGGGAGCACTAAAAAGGTGCCTGAACGAGAATACTCTTTTCCGAGGGGGCCCTGTACTTTGGAGTGCAAGGCAGTGAAAGGGTTCCGGGTGCTGCTTCACCGAGATTCCACGGCCGTCTTCGTTGGCAGTAGGACTGTGGTCTCCTACGCCCCCTGCAGAAAGTTGTAAATACATCAATTAGCAGCGACGCCATGCCTCCGTGCACGAGGACACACACACACAAGTAGATATATATATATATTCTATATATATATATATATATGTGTGTGTGTGTCACCTAGCCCTGACCATACTGCATCTCTTCGGCGCGCACTAGCCTGAAACTCCAGGCAATACTAAACCGAATACACGGGTTTTATAAAGCCTGGACTAAGCGGGCTGAGCAGGTAGCAAGTTTGCCATCTTTCAACTCTATTGATGTACTGGCCTGAAAGTAGCATTGTGATCTCTGAAAATGGCTTGTTTCCACTTGGCTTCTCATCTAACACCCGACCTCTCCGCGCTTGCTTGATCCAAGGCGGCCACCCCCTCACGGCCGGCAGCATCTGGGCAGGCTCCGTTCTCCAAAAGGACCTCACAAGCATTGCAAAGCCGCGGGTGGCGTGGCGATGTGTCCAAACAAGTTGGACAAGTTTGGGTGCGGTTCCCAAAAATAGATGACAACATAAGAACAAGCATTTCAAGGGTCCGTGGTTTTGACACAAAAACAGACGTTTCAGTCGCAGCACGTCAACAAAAGCAGAGGGTGTAATGGAACTTTCAGTGGGCGTCCCATTGCCCTTACCAATGAGTTCTGCTGAAAGCCCCACTACCCCGCAGATTTCTGTGCCGAAGACTGCGCGAATCCGCAGGGTCTCTGTGACGAGCCCGGCACCGTCACGCTTGAACTGAAAGTTCTGCGCCCAGTTTCCCTTTGACCGTTTTGACTTCGGCGGGGCCCAGTTCCATCGAATTCCAGTTAGGGCCTTGGAAGCCTTGGACACATCGCCCGGAGAAAAACCAAACCTGAAGGTGCCCACTCGAAGCTCGGGCTGGGCGCAGCTAGCTTTGCGAATTTTTCACCGAGGGTGAAACCAGGCGGCGGCGCAGCATGGTCCACAGATCTGGGGTTTGCCGCGCGCCAGCGCATATTCCGCATGCACGCCTAAAGCACTCAGAATCGATCTGAACCGGGAGCAATTTCTGGGCCCGTTTTGGTGCGTCCAGGCTGCGAAGGGCAAGGCAAGCCAAAACTTGAAAACCAAGCAATTTGCTTTGAACATATCCAGGCTGATTGGGTCTGCAAACGGTGGGTTATTGCATGGGATCATCCTCATCTGCAGAAAGCCTTTGCCTTTAGCCAGCCTTTGCCACGCTTCTCTCAGCCTGCATCCGCGGCGACAGGAGAGCCTTGCTCTTTGAGGTGGCGCGGCCTGATACGGCCGCAGTCGGCGCAAGGCCTCACGTCCAAGTTGTAGGTTGCCACCTCACATCTTTGGCACTGCAGCGATCAAGGCAAACAAGCATATCCTGGCTTCTGCCTGCATGGCTCCCCACAAGCAACTAAGCATGCTGGCTTGCCCTGGCCGGCTTGCGTGGCTACCTGGATATTCCTCCGAACCCAGGCTGGATGCCATGAATCGCAAGTCGAGGCACGTGGCTAGAGCCGCAGGTGTCATTGAACCTCGGCCACGGGTGTAGGCCTTTTTCTCTTCCAGGGTTGAGATGGATCCCATGATGATCCCATGCACCGGAAAACTACTGTTCGATATAAACATGTTTAAACAAGTAGCTGGGCCTCACTAAATTTCCTGATACGTGGGGCTATAACCATGTCTCCAAAATTGGGGGTTTGGGTTCGGGCTACGTCCTTAGGGGGGCTGTACATTGCGAGGAGCGCACCGGCCCGCGTATACGCCAAGGGGCGACTGCACCACGGCGGGGATCCAGCGTTGGGCGGAGGTGCTGTTGTAGCTGACGCTGGTCCCAGGCGGCCAAGCCTCCGCCTGAGAACCCAACCTGTTTAGACATGGATGCCAAACCACTGGAGGTTGGGAATTGCCAAGTCCCGCCCCCCCCCCCCACTCCCCACGAAAGGATCTCGGCACGGCCATTGGTTGGTAAACACGGAGATTTTGTCTGGGTAGTTGACTTCAAAAGGGAAGGGGAAGGAAGCCCCTCCAAAAAAAGGGAGAGCGTCTGTGCTTAAGCAACCCCAAAAATGCCGATGACCTGGGCCTAAACGTGGCCCTGCCTCAGGCACGTCCGGGGTGGGAGAGATGTTCTCGATGCAGGCGTGCTGCTTGATGTCCAGGTCGAACCTCAGGAAATCCCAACCTCTGAAGCTCCCAAAATGCCAACCTGGATGTGGCAAAAATGCAAAATGATTTAGACCCCGAAAATGTTGTTTCCCTTACCCACCCTTGAACACACCCACGGATGGGCTTCCCTTGGGCCCGTGCGTACCGTCGGGATTGGCCTTCTCCACCCGGGCTGGAAGCCAGCAGCCGCCATGCGTCTGAGACCAGTAGCGACAACCTTAGCACAGTTATGGATTCACCAAGACACGTCAAACCCTTCTGGCTTGGACGCCCTGCCTCACATTTGAAGCTGTGAAAGAAAGGTGCTGCCCCTGATCCACAGCGCGCGTACTTGCCAAGATGCGCATGCCCTTCCCGATCGGCGCAGTGGCCGGCCACGTCTTGTCACCCAACTGGACCGTCCTTGGATGCGGGCGAGAGCTGGGACGGCTCAAGTTTCAAGGAGCCGTGACCTGTGCAGAAACCGGAATACTTATTGCAGTCCTCCTGGGCTCAAGATCAAACATCAGCTCTCCTTTAAGCCGGGTGCTGCGACGCAAGGAACACACGCGCCGAGCCACTTGCGCGAGTAGCTTCTTGTGGAGCTGGGCTGCGCCGGGCACTCCTAGACCAACTTCAAATCCGAAGCCAACCCAATCCCACCCACTCCCAGCCACTCCCGCCCACTCCCATCCACTCCCACCCCCAACCACTCCCACCCGCTCCCACCCTCTCCCACCCAACCTGCCTCGACGACCTTAGCAGCAGTGACCTGCGGCTGAAAACGGACCATTTCGACACGCGGATGACTGAATCATCAACACCTTGACTCACCTGATCCCACCCGCCTCCAACTCAACCGTCTGCTGCTTCTGCAACTGCCGTTTCATCCTGAGCAGGCATGCCTCCGTCAAGCCTGCTTCAAACAACGCTTCCGGTCAGAAGCCTTCACCAATGAGCGACCTTCAGAACTGCATAGACATCATGAATCACATGGAGCGAAGTGCCCCGCAAAGCCATACATGCATATTTGCTGATACTCGAAGAATTCAGCAGGAAACCAAACCGGACATTGCCCAAAATGCTGGTCCCTCCACCCACCCACCCAAATAAAACAGAGCGTGTACCCAAGCAAATGTTCAAACAGCTGGCTTTCGCGCAGATGCAAATGAGTCGTCCAAGGAAAAATCCTTCTTCGAAGGGAAAAAACCTTGGCAAACGCACCGAACGCCAGCCTTCTTGTGGCAGCAGCTGGCAACTCAAACACCCAGGTCTGCGCTGTTCACATGATGGGCGTTATGCCTTCTGCTGGCGCACGATCACTTCGTGAGTCCTCAGCGGCACTTCGGCCACAATACGGCAGCCCCCAGCACCGTCCGCGTAGCAACCTGCAGGATCTGCGTGCAAAGCTGTGGGTGATCTCACGCCGCTGGGCGGGGGCTCGCGGGACATACGATGACAAACCTCATGGTGCCTCAGCGGCAGCTCGGCCACGACTCTTTCGCGTTCGCCTCCTTCGCCTCCTTCGCCTCCTTCGCCTCCACTTGCCGGCCTCAGAGACGGCTCTGAGAGTGCGGTGGCCAGCCTGCGCAGTGCTTTCGCTCTCTGGCGGCCTCGCTCCGCCATGCGTCCAGCCAGAGTGTTGAGGTCAGGGCTGCGGCTCCCAGGGCCTTCGGCTTCTTGCCACATTAGCCGATCTCTGGCAATCCTCGTGTCCGGCGGACCGGCGCTGAAATCCGGCACCTTCTTTCCAAGCTCCTTGTACCAGCGCTTTTGGTGTTTCTCCCGCTGCCCTTGCTCAATGCGGAGTCTGTCCTGCCACAAGAGGTGTCCAGTCATGAAGGAAGTGCGATGGCTCTGCTCTTTGCCAATCACTACCTTGCGGTACAACCCCCCAATTGGATCCACCGGCATGGCTGTCGTCGCTGGGAAACCGTTTGGGAGGAAGCTAGCGGGTCTGAAACGCGATACGGAATGGCTGCGGTGGTTATGATTAGCACTGACTGGTACGTAGCAATGGGCACTTTTGTGCTCTGTGCCAAACAGGAAGGACATGTTTTGCAGTGTGTGCTGCCAGGAGTGGCTGCCCGGTGTTTCAAGTGTTGAGCTTTTGCAGCCGATGCCAAATCGAAGGGTCTCAAAGAAGCCGGGACAAAGAAACTATACGATAGTATGTGAGACCAATTCATGAATGTGCTTTCTGCGCTGCTAAGTGCATCTGGCTCGTGAAGGCTAACTTTTAAAGATGGCAACCATAGCACCAGAGTGTTTGCATTGGCATGAATCGGAACTGCCGCACCAATCAGCCAACATCAACTCACTCGCCCAAAGGATCCAGAAGCAAGCAACTCGCCTTTCGGGACCATAAGCCCAAATCGGAAAGGATCAAATGGTCGATTCGCGTTGAGGCCAACTCCCAGTCTCCTAATGCACCAGAAGTGCAGCTTTCGCATGGAAAGGCATAGCGACGCCTCAAACTTGGGGGCAAACGTCCCTGAAAAGAAAAACTTACACGGCTGGCTTTTGCCACGTGCATTTCCGCGCCCACCTCCCGGGCCAAGGCGCTGCATCATGATCTCCCACTGGGACTCATTCTGCTCCTTCTGCAGGCGGTGCTGCTCCGCCTCCTTCCGCACCTGCTGCTCCACCAGCCTGGCACACAGAACATGTGGCGCACAAAGGGACGGGGTCCGCTACAGTGACACCTTCAAACTGGCGGCTTGGGAAACCACCCCCAAAGTTATTCCGCGAACTCCTCAAGATGTTCACTGCAAGGACCCTCATAAATGATGCGCAAACACGGACGGTCAAAAGAAGCTGGAACCACCTGTGCTTAACCTTGAAAAGTGATCACAACATTATGGGAAACCAATGGACATTGAAAAACTGAAAGCTCAGCATGCCCGGCACTCTGGTTCCAATCACCCAGACCTGGCCGGACCTCGCCCGACCCTGCCTCAGTTGCTCCTCCAATTCTTGGATCCTTAAGACGAAGGATCCGAAGGGTCCAAAAGGGTCCAAGCAGTGAACTGGTGCAACTCTGGATGCCACTCTCGACACCCAGCTCAGCCACCTATCCCCCATCTTCTTCCAGGCGGCCGCTCAGATGCAGAGTCCGTCAGTGGCTGAGGGCCCTGCCAGCGAGAAGAGTGCAACTCTGAAGCAGCAAACGGCCAAGCCGAAGCTAAGTAAACGCATACGGCCCCGGCTTGTACATCAATGTTTTTGGGCACAGACTCAAGAGAAGGCTGCAAGCCAATGAGCGCTAGACAGGATAGCAACAGGCCCCCAAAG